CTCTCTCTCTCTCTCTCTCTCTCTCTCTCTCTCTCTCTCTCTCCTATTATTTGTCTTTAATGTTGCTTTTTATTTGTATTTTGGTTTTCTCCATAAGGGAAACCATGCTACATGTAGGCTTGGTCTCAAGGTACATCCATTTTCCTACAAATGACTCAAGTTTATTCTTCTTTATAGTAGATGACCATTAAAAAAAAGAATTGCATATAAACGCCACATTTTTGTTAACCATTTGTCAGTTGATGAACATATACAGTCCAGAACCATCTTATTCATTTCAGATTTATTAGGGCCAAGTATCCAGGAAGTTGCTTAATAAGTGCTTGTTGAAATAACCAGCTGAGCTAGCTGAAAGCAGCGCAAGATACCTGCCCTGAGGCTGCATCTCACCGTTCAGAGTAAAGCAGGATGGGCAGTAGTTCACACTCAATGATCAATACAAGGAAAGATTACAAATGACCACACCAGCCTCATATGTCCGGTAAATTCTGCTGATCCCGGTTCCCCTGTACTTGGGAAGAATGCACGGCTTTGGACAGTCTCATGTTATCAATTCTTGCTGTGAGCTGAAGGCACAAGGACTTGATTAGCAGTTGGTCTCCATTCAAAACTGAGTGAAGAGAAGTTGGAGTTCCTGGAGGTGCTAGACACTCAGCAGTCATAAACTTCACATCCCTGAAAGCAATCTTGCCACACTGTTGTCCAACGCTAAGAGTGAACTGGAAGCTTCCACGGCCACAGCCCATATTTCTTATTGTAAAAGAATATTGGAGATGTTTGACACAGTACAGTATACTCTGGCTTCTCACTCACCTAACTTGCCATTTAGTGACTATTATGAGATTTTTCTCTGCTCTTTTTAAAACTTGCCCTGCGATGACAAATTTACTTCTACCAATCACGTAGTGGTTTTGAGATATCTGAAGTCTAGAGCGCACAGTAAAGTGCTCTGTGAAACACAGTGCCGATGAGCATTTTCCTGTCATAAATGGAAGCCACCGAGCTGCCCTGAAGCACAGAACCATTATTGGCGTAGACTGTGCTCACCCTCTGTTCATCTGATAAAGCATTCTCGATGCGTACCACCTGTCAAGGAAAGAAACCCTGGTTAGCGTGCTGAGTAAGTGGCTATCTGGTGATGTTTTAATTCCCAGTATTCTATGGCATGATCTTCAGAGATCTATCTTAAATCATTTTTCATCCTCTGATGAAGATATTAAATCCTCATGATGTCTATGCACTGAAAGGGACTGGCTATCTGACAGTAGCCAAATTCCTCAACAGAAAGATTAAACAATGCTGATAGTTCAGATATCCCCTGTAGAAAGAGATCATACCCAGTGAACACTCTATCCACTTCCTGATTCTGTAAGGAGGATCTTGCTTTTGTGTGAACCTATAGCATGAGGGAAGACATGGGACAAAAGGCTAAAAGGATCTGAGTCAACCAGCCACCGCAAACTGGTAACTGGGAGGACGGTGGGCACCGCAGCCAAAACCCCTCACGTCTATGAAGTTGCTGGGAAGCAGAAGACACACCCTGGTTTAGACTTCCAGCTGACATATGTACGTCTCATGCTGGTATTGATCCCAAAGCACAAAACTTTGCTAATCAGTGAAGTTGGAAACACTCAGGTTTCCAAAAGCCTGGATAAAAATCAATTCAGCAGAACATGAGAGGAATTAGAGGAAAACAATCAGTAATTCGTAAGTTGAGAGTCTTTCTCAACACTCTCCTTAGAAAGGAGTTTAGAGAGGGTATTTTTTTATGTTCAGTTTTGTTTTCTAATCTTAAAGAAGATCCTATGTCTTCACCTTAGATTTGTTACACAAAAGTACTCAAGTGTGGACCACATAAATAAGACTGAATTAAAAGCCACTGCAAAGCAAGAACAGTTATGTAAAATAATCACATGGTCAAACTCAAAAGTAGAGATGTGAAAAAAAAAATCCTGAACAATGTTTTAAAGCATTGTATTGCTTTAAAGCAGATGCTGTACTTAGATTTTTGTAGAAAAGTTACACCTATCTTTGGGGATGGAATGTGATACACACCTGAAGCAAAGAGTGTTTGCTAGCTTGGAACAAGTCTTCTGATTCAAGATTCAGGCTGGGCTTCTGTTTCTTTCTATATTTCTTTAGAACTCTCTTTAAGAACCAGTGACTAGGGCAGGTCAGAGAGCTTAGTAGATTAAAGCACTAGCTTAAGCAGGCGCAGCAGCTGGGGTTTGATGCCAGCATGCTGTGCCAGCCCCACCCTCCAGGACGTCCTGAGACAGGGACTGAAACTGGGCATGTGGTGTGCACATGTAATCCCAGCGCTTGGGAGGCTGAAAACAGGAGGATCACTAAGAGTTCAATCTGTGCAACGAGACCCTGTAGACCCTGTACTAACTACATTAAAAAAGAACCTGTAACTGATATGTTAATTGAAGAGAAAAAATAACTATAAAAGAGCAATATTGTTCAACAGAATTAACTTTATATTCTAAGTTACACATTGACTACCATCTAATCAAGTACTAGGCTAGGAGCTGAATCTATTTCCCGACTCCCCAAACCTGTCTTCCTTCAAAACACACTCTCTTAGTGAGGCCTGTTCCTTTTCTATTTAATAGTTAGGCCTGCCTGATCTCTTGTTCATAGAAGTCCTGACCCTCTTTACCCTGATACGAAAAACATCCTGTTTTTCCATGGAACTTAGCAACTTCGGACTTACTATATGATTCACTTGTTTCCTACATTCATTTTTTAGTGTCTGTCCTCCCTGTCCTAAGAGCAGAGATTGCTGTTTGCCTTTCTAATATATCTTGAGCACTGGACCAATGTCTGCCACATGATAGGTGCGCAGTACATGTCTATGAATATATATCTCTGAGTAAGTTCGCCAAGAATTTATAGCTATCAGTAAATTCACTAGAGAATTTTTATTCTTAAATTCCATGCCATATAAAATGCAATACTAAGTGTTCTTGTTTTTAATGCCTTCAAAAGTTCAATGGCTTACATTTTTGCTTTAGAAGAGATATTTGTATTAATGATTATTGATTATGCAGAGTAATAGGTCTCATTGTGGAATTTTCATCCATGAATATAGCAGCCACAGATCATGTCCAACCCCTCATTACCCTCCTTTACTCTGTCCCTTCCCACCCACTTCTTATCTAAGATGAGTCTCCTAGAAGAGATACTTTCAAATAACAACAACAAAAAATTTTCTTTTTGATATGGGGTCAGTTCAGGCTGATCTTGAGGTGACAATGTAGTTGAGACTGGCCTAGAACTCACATCAGTCCTCACACCTCAGCCTTCTACGTGTGGGGATTATAGGTATGCACCAACATCCCCAGCCTAAGTAACATGAACTTTTAAACAAGGCATTTTTTTGAAAAAAAAAAAACTATTCTAGATACATTACAAACTAGAGGCAAAACAAAAACCTTAGTTTGGGGATTTCATTTAAATCCTTTTACGTGAGCTTCACGTTATGTAGTCTGAAAGGAGGCGATCTTATACACATCTTTCTGTCTTCCCATAGGACTTAGTTAGACCTGGTTGGAAATACAGTAGGCAACCAGGTTGGAGACATCTTAGGCAATGTGGGTCCATATGAATAATCAAGCTCATATTTCCCTATTAATCCCAACAGCAAATATATCCCGTGTACAAAGGGAACATACTGTTTAGGGCTGATGTTGTATTGGCACCTGCTGGCCTCAAAGGGATAGGGAATTATTTCCCCCTTCCCTGTCAAAATCTCCATTGGAATATCAAGTGTCTTCACTTAATTATCCTATGTCACCTCAACAAACTGCTCATCCTCATAGGTTTGCCTGTGAGCACTATAGGCACTTACCTCTGACCCTGGAGGATCCTCCGGGTTATAGTTCAGTAGCTTCATGGCATTAGGATGGCATCCTGCCAAAATATCTCCCGTGGTAGGATCAACACTCAAGTTATCCACCAAGGTTCCCAACTGTATTACCTTCCAACAAAGACAAGGTGATGCAGACATTATCTCAGCACTCTTCGCTCCCCTCCCTGCCTCCCACCGGTGCTTCTGGGCACCTGAGATTATTGCTTGTAGGGGATTTAGGGATGTATGTTTCAAACAGGAGCATGATCTCCCTGTCTTGCTCTAAAAGTCATCGTTCCTTCATTCAAGGTGGTTAGTGGATCTGATGCTAGGGACCATGCTGAGTGGATAAACCAGGTGCTTTTACCTTCAGTTGAGTTAAATCCCAGTTTTCATGTTTTTCCATTACATGAATGTTCTTATCTGCTACATCAGCTACATAGATATACCTTTGAAATAAATAACATTGACATTTAAGCAAGCGGTAATGAGATTTGATGCCACTACTTCTTTTGAAGAACAAGTATAAAACTTCACACTAGTTTGAAGTACCACTGTAGTTTGAAGTGTTTTTCTAAACCACTATAAAAGATAATGGAGTGGTACTTCTAATAGTCTTGAAATGTTTACATAGGCTTTGGTTATGGGATGTGACCAAAAGTACAAAATCGGTATTTCGGATGATACAGCGGCTCCATCTCATTTCTGAGAATTTACAAGTTTTAATTTAAATTGAGTGGAGAAGAGTGGACCTCTTCTAAGGCACAGAGGCATATTTCCAAAAACCAGTGTTTGAACAGAAGTACTGAGTGACCATGAAGTTGGGTCACACTCATTTTTCTTCAAAGAGAAGGACCACTTCCAGGTATGTTCCTCCAGGGATCATTGCTGTCCATTATCTCAAATTTATGCATCAATATTCATAGTGCCTTTTAAAAAATTCTTCAATTTTTAAACACTTACAAAGAATGTTTTTAAATAAAATTCCATGTTATTTAAAAGAATCAATGAACACTTCACTGTCAGGCATCAGTACATCTGCAATTTTTACAATTAAAATGCCCAATCGAAGGAAAGCCTCCACCTCTACCACAAGGTTTTGGATAACTGAATATAGTGTAAGTGATTAAATACCTTCTAGCCTCATCAAGGGTAAAGGTATTGTCCATTTATCCAAATTTTCAATGGGCTATCCAAAGTGTGTTTCTAGTAAACATTTGGAACAAGGATTTATTTTTTGAGTCAAATCACTCTTTGGATTGGGGAAATCCAAAGAATAGGACACCCAGAGATTTGCTTTAGAACACACGGTAGTGTGACCACTGGCCACAACCTCTCCTCATATTGATCCCTTTAACCCAGGGTACATCTTAGGGAATTCACCAAAACATTAAATGTAAGGGGTAGAAAAATAATAAAAGAGCATACTTCCTGTCTAGTGAGATTGTGATCCCATTGGCACAGCTAAACCCTTTGGCTACCACTTTGACTTCGCTTGGGCTGTAGAATACAACGTAAGTCCAGTGAAGATCCAAAAATTGCTCAAGTATCATGAAGTAATTGGTAAAATAGCGGTCTCTGGTGGCATAAAATTGTTCTGGTCCAACAACCACAATGTCATTCAGACTGGGGAGGGGAGAGAAAGAGGGAGAGAAATAAATCCACGGAGTATTTTAATATCTTGACTGTTGTCAAAATCACTAATATATCAATATCAAGAAACAATAATGGGGAGCCGGGGAGATGGCTCAGTGGAATAAGTGCTTGCCTGGCAAGTACAGGGACCTGAGTTCAATCCCTGGTTCCACCAAAAAAAGGGGGAGGTGGTAAGCCAGATAGCTCAGCAGATTAAGGCGCCTGCTTAGACAGGTGCAGAGACAAGGGTTCAATACCCAGACTGCTATGCTGGCCCCGACCCCGGGGCACACTGAGAAACAATTGAGACTGAGTGTGATGCTGCATGCCTGTAATCCTAGTGTTTGGGAAACTGAAAACAGGAAGATCATTACCAGTCCAATCTGTGTAGTGAGACTCTGTAGACTCTGTACTAATACACAAAAATGCAAAAATGAATTACAGTATAAGTGAATTTCAAACTCAAAAATCTAATTTTTATAATGGTTATCTGTGGCAGTTATAATTGTTATGATATTCTTCCTTTGGGAATTAGACTTGAGGGGCCGGGGAGATGGCTCAGTGGAATAAAGCGCTTCCCTGGCAAGCGCAAGGGCCTGAGTTCAATCCCTGGTTCTGCCGCAAATAAATAAATAAATAAAAGGAATTAGACTTGAACATTAGGTGTAGACATGTGATTTGCATTGATTAATTAAATGAAATAGAATAAAATTAAATGTGTGGGGCTTTCGGTTAGAAGACTGTGAGAGGCAGTGAGTGACTCATCTGGTCTATACAGCAACGAACAATTTCTGGGTATGGCCCTCCTAGGTCCTAAGGGAAAGAAAGTCTCTTCTTAATCATCTGCGTGGCTATGTAGTAAGACTGAGAAAATCAAACCGAACTGTACTATGTGGTCTTGAGCCCTAGATTTTTCTTACTGTTATCATATCTAACTCAGTCCCTTTTGAACTTTATAGATGGGATTATGGGTAGTTTTCTTTCTTTTGTTCATCAGTACCATGAGGAATTTCCTTTCCTTCCTTTTTTCTTTCCTTCCTTGTTTCTTCTCCTTCTCCTTCT